ATATTGTGCAAAAGCAATATTACATCCTTAATAAATCTATATCGCAAAGTTTAACAGATTAGCTTTCCCGACAACGTCAGTTTTGAGATTCATTCATCTTCCTGACACACATGTTGGTGACGATGTATTACTGGTTGATTCTGTAGGAGATTTTTCAGGGTTCCTCAAAAGGATGATCATATTTTGATTTTCGCGCTTCGCCAATCGTAAAAGGGCACTTTTTATCATTGTCACCAATTTCACAAACTTACCCATCATCAATTGCTCCATCATCGCTTGGCTTATGGTGCCGATGCAAATTGCTCTCGTTTTCAAGTACATAGCATGGCTTTCGATGATAGCACTTTGTATTTAGATATCTCTTATCTGGCCCATAAAGCCATAGAGAGTTTTTTGCTTTTTATCTGAATACTTTTGATTGAAAGGTTTTACAAAACTGCTAAAGTATTTTGACAGGAAAAGTGGAAGAATAGTTATTATTGAACTTATCATTACCCAATCATACTTCCCAGTGATTTTTAATTAAGCCAGAGATCGAGTAAATCAGATTACATCCAGTCATACATTAAGGATTTAGATAAATCGAAGGCAATGGAGCTATATATTCTTTTCAAGCTTCTGAATAACTCTCGCGTTCCCACCGGAGATACAGTACCACCATATTATAATAATGTGTCTGTGAGAGAGGGAATGTCTGTTAGGAACTTCATAAAACTAGTGCCAAACTACTGACTAATTTTTCGCTGTAGTCGAGTAATATTGTCAGTCGAATATATTTTGTGAATTATGACGAAAGAGTAGACTAAAGTTCAGTTTTATTCATGCGAAAATAACTTTTCGAATAATAATTTCGTTACAATTATTCAAGATGGTACGCTTACAAAAAATCAATAAATCCTTCCATTAGCAAGAAAAAAAGAATTTATTCGCATAATTTCGGATTTAACTGAAATTTTGTCGAATATCTTTCATTTTTTCCACTAATTGAACAGCATCATTTATAGATTTACTAGCAGTTTGAAGTTGCTCATCATTACCTTTGATATTGTCCAGTTTCTTCCGGATTGATTCTAATTGAAAAGAAACCTTTGAGATCGCTTCCATGCATTTATCGCGGCTACCCGTGTTTTGCTTTCTTTTCTGGTTACTATGATCTTGGATCTCTTTCGCTAGTTTGGACACATCACGATGCAATTCTTCATGTTTTCCGTCACCAGCTTGTCCAAATTGCTCTGCAGCTTTTTGAAGGACAGCAGTTAAGGATTGGATAGACATTTGACATTTATCCTGAAATACTCGTGTTAACTGATTAGGTTTGATCAGTAACCTCTGTGGTCCCATGAAGTAAACTTTTGACAAAGTCTAAACCTTGACGGATTGATCAAAGCGAAGTTAATCTTACCGGTTTCTGCGACTGAACGTGAATGACAGATAAGACGCTGCTAATCAAAATCAATCCCAAATGCATGTTTTACTGTATGATTATGCGTAGAATTATTGACCACTGCTGTAATTATTCGCGGTAATTATCATTTCTGAACGTTTTATAATTCTATATGTGCCCAATACCTTTTTTAATTAGGATAAGTTGCAAAACGATAGGATGCTAATTCAGTTTGAGCTACTGTCAGAGTACCTCTACTGGGAAAGTATAATCCAGGCCCTAACTGAACTTCTTATTACCCATTCATATGTCCCAGCGATTCTTAATTAAGGCCAAAGAAACTGAGTTGATCAGAGACGTCGTACTTTATTATACCCAGTCATACATTCAAGATTTAGATGAATAGAAGGCAATGGAGCTGTATATCATTTTCAAGCTGCTAAATTCCCGCCCTGTTTTACAATATCCATTGCTAGTACCATATATATTAGAATAAGGTATCTCGGAGGAAGGGGTATCTAGTGAGAGCCTTATAAAGTCGATGTTGAGCTGGTAACTAATTTTTTGCTATAATCAGACAATATTTATAGTCGATATAGCCTTTTGTGAATTGTGACAAAAAAGCCGTCTATAAAAGGCCAAAGTTTAATTTCATTCATGTGAAAATGATTTTTTGAATAAAAATTACCATTACAAAAATTTATGATATGCTTACTCATTGTGAGCTTGCAATACAACAAAACGATTTGTCATGTATGTCGCATCGCTTTCACAATAGAAAAATATTCTCGATATTTCAATGCATACATGAATTCCACTGAATCTAAATGTAATTTTTTTCCAGACTCAAATTTTCAAATTAAAACTTTGATTTCCATTAATAATCGCTCTTAGTGGAAAGATAGAATAGTCACGTTAGTCTGCTTTACTATAGAAATATATGCGATAAATTTCTTATATAGAGTTAAGTCTCAAACGAATGTTATATCAGTCTAACCAATACCTTTTATTCAATTTAATAATTACTCCATTCCTTTTGTTAGCAAATTTTGGTCATTTACTCTTGTCCTCATTTTCCCTGACACCTTTAACATTATCAGGTTAATTAACTAATCATTCATTGAGATATCTAACTATCCGCATTCATACACCACTCAAATACCACGCTTGAGAATACCAGTCTCGATGAGATGTATATTCATTACAAATTCCACCACATCACGGGAAAGATTTTGTAGTTTATTCTTTGTTCTTTTAACTCCACAGCATTGATAGTAACCTTATTGGTGTTATACAATATGGTAAATATCGCACTGAAACAATAATGGGGACGAAATGAACAATATACAATAATTATTAAAGGATTTCAAACAGTCTTGTCGCTCGTGCTGTTCAACTGTCGAACCATCACTTTTACTACCTTCTAACCGCTGCTGAAGTTAAACGACTGACTTGTTATCTTCGATGTTTATGCGAGCTGTCGTATTAACTCAACGGAAGTCGTACTGAGTGATTGAGCGAACCGTCGAATTTGGTGACACATCCTGACTGATCTAGCTCCTTATATAGTGGAAGTAGTTCAACATCCCAGACACATTGGTTTAACTATCAGACTAACGATTCTTTACAATATTTCAATATTTATGTGTAAGCTTGATTAACAGATTACAAAAAATTTACAACAAAGGGCTTTGTGTGCAACATTTAAGCATTGAAATTAAGATTGGTTGAAAACTTGGAGGAATTGGATTTGGGTAAATGATTCATCACTTTCGGCATTAAAAATTGATTTTGCGTAACAAATCATTTATCTGAGAAATATTTTGAATCCTAATTAAAACAACTAACATTTTTTCGACTTCGACGCAGGGACGAGTTCATTAAAAGAAATAACAAATCAGATGAAGAAGAAGCATTAATAGCATAATAATAATATTGATAAAAACGATGCTAAAAAACTGAAGTACTCAATAGATAAAATAAATGGACACCGAAATGTAACAGAATTCATCTACTAAAATTGATAATCTCAAGTTCATGGTACCGTGTTGGTAGCACTGGGATTGATGCTTCGGAAGATCGGAAGATGGTACAGAAATGACAATGAGGGTCAGTGGATTTCATATGATGATATTTCAGCCAATGGGATCAAAATTTGTCACATCAGAATTGGAGATATCGTTAGTTGACAACACCAATAGGTTAATGGTACCGAAAAAATGGCTGTAATAGTGCAGTTGTTACCTTGCACGAACCTTTTTAATACGTCAGTTAAGATTTCTTCAAAACTGGTTTGGTTGGCTGGTTGGCGTATTGGTGATGAAGAAATAGGTATACGAATTGGTATTTTTCTTTGTCACAATGTTTGCTGAAGTTGGTGCTCACGTATTTGCGTACCTACGTCAATTACTCTTACTGCTGGGTAGATGTGCATCATCAATTTTGTTAACATTGTCATTTATTTTGTTTAATGTTTGGACTATTTCTCCTTTAATCATCTTGTCGGAAAAAATCACTCGACAACATTTTTCTGAACTTTTCCAAGAAAATTCAGTAAATTCGATTCTTATGAATGGCTCAAGTATAAGCTCTTCTTAGTAATCGGAAGGGGAAACTCTTGAATGTTGTCGAATTCAGCATGAATTGAGTGCAAGTTCTCTCTCCTTGATTTTATATCACCATTTATGTATTAGCTTATTTCAGAATCGAAAAGTATGCTCGGAGATTTATTAGTTGTTTCGTCTGTCCTTTATTTGGGAGGGAATATTTTATTTTAAGTACTGATTCATTGGTAAAAATTATTGGTTCAAGATCCAGTATGTGATAATTTTCAAATTTTTATATCTTCCAATAACTCAGTCAAGTTTTCATAGTGTTAGTTTCGTGACATGATGTGTAAAATCTGTTCCATCCATAAGTATGACAAGCCTGGATACGAACTTATGGAAAGTGATTCAAGCAATGCTTCTAGAGAGTTATGTAGTATGCCTCTTCATCAAACATTGATCAAGCAAGTAATTCGGCATTTTCTTCTATTTCAGTTTCTTCTAATCATTGATTTGCGTAAACTGTCCCATCCAAGTGAGGAGAAGACAAAACAGGAAGTGCATTGATAAGTTCTTGAGTGTGGGTACACTTCGTGATGTATCCTGTCTAATTAGTGTCTATTTATTGGTCGAACAGTTGAAGCAGTGTTGAATTGACTTTCTCGTTACTTCACTGATTTTCATTCTTTGATCGCTTGCTTGTAGATGATGCCGTCCAGATATCCTCGAGTGTTATAGGTAGATCGGAATATTTATAAGACCATGGACTTGACGTCATTCGATCTTACAACAAGTTGGGGTACAGAAGTTTGAAATCTCATCTAAGCTAGATTCTGGTCGTCAATCGAGATACTATGTAATAAGGAATGTTTAATTTCAAGGTTTTCGATGGTCCAATTACCTAAGTTTGGGGTTCCATGTCTCATTCTGTGATAAATTTTTTCGTGTCCATATCAGCGACAGAGCAGTCCATAGTGGTGGAACTGTTAAGAAAGCAAGTAAATCATTAATGTTGGAATTCAGCATAAATGCCTGACATTTTCAATTCCTCTTTCCATGAATTATGAAATAATTGCTTCCTGTCATTTGTTTTGCATTTTTTCGATGTCAGTCACGTAGAATATCGATCGTTAGGATGGGTTTTTCATCCGTTTCATTCGCTGCTGGACTGCGAATGCCTCAGTTCTCGCCGTGTTTCCGTTTCCGTTTGTCTCAATGGTATACCGCATGTTTATACTGCTACACTTACGTTAACTTATTGATTATTATTAGCGCTTTCATAAGTCATAAAAAAATGTTCAGGCACGCAGCTCCCTAATCACACTTTTGTTTTTCATTTTCTTCACATTGTTACTTCAACAGTGTCGGGTTTTTCTGTATCAAAATATGCTACAAAATAGTGTGTAACTGCAAACTAATTGGACGTATGTGTTAGTGATGGAGCGTTTTGTGCCATTAATGGAGATTAATAGTGTTAATGTTTCATTTCGATTTCCAGATATTTAAACAAAATGCGTAGTTTGTAGTTTCATCGTCGTGATGGACTACAGCCACTATTGCTTAGCCCTTTATCTTATATGTATCTTTTGTTAAATGTAAATCTTCATAAACGATGTAAGAAAAGGGATGCATGCCTGAAATTAACTGAAAAAAACTTAGGTGGTACCAAGTAATGTTGTGTTCCTTGTGACTATGATTCGATGAAACTGGTGGTAACAACACTGACATACCAATTATGATGACTAAAGCTTCAAAATTCCCCTGCAGTTTTTCTTTTATTTTTTCAGTTAACTAGTTTTTGATTGTTGTTTTTCAAAGAACGTCTTCGCATCGAGTTTTAAATTACTTTTGAAGATTGTTAAAGCTTTGTAAAACGCTTTTAGGTTCATGTTATTATGAAATAGTGATGAAAATAATAACGCTTTTTGCCTGTGATTTATACTACTGTGGTTAGGAGATTGCTTAAAGGATATACTTGTTATCGATCATTTCGATTAATTAGGCTCATAAAAATGATATTCCCTATCATAGAAACATCACTTTTTTCATCAGCATCATCATTATTTCCCTTTACCATCTATTTCAATTAATTTATTTCCCAAAAAACTGTTAGCATTTTGGTTGGCATTTTTCATTTAGACACTGTTGCCAGCCCAGTGACATTTTCAAGCAGAGTTGGTAGTTAAATCAGTGACGTGTCTTTTTTGCAAGAGGGAATTTAAATGTTGGGATTTCAAAAAATT